TCCAGCATTTCTCATGATGTACTCTGCATATAAGTTAAATAAGCAGGGTGACAATATACAGCCTTGACGTACTCCTTTGCCTATTGGAAAGCAGTCTGTTGTTCCATGTCCAGTTCTAACTGTTGCTTCCTGACCTGAATACAGGTTTCTAAAGAGGCAGGTCAGGTGGTTTGGTATGCCCATCTCTTTCAGAATTTTCCACAGTTTATTGTGATCCACACAGTCAAAGGCTTTGGCATAGTCAATAAGGCAGAAATAGGTGTTTTTCTGGAACTCTCTTGCTTTTTTGATTATCCAGCAGATGTTGGCAATTTGATCTCTGGTTCCTCTGCCTTTTCTGAAACAAGCTTGAACATCTGGAAGTTCATGTTTCACGTAGAGCTTATGTAAGAGAATCACAAATCACCTATTCCAAATCATGTTTGGCATAGTTGGTTAGTGTCTCAGATGTGTATATGGAGCATCCTGGCTGTAGGATACATCAAATAATTTATCTGATAGAATGAGGCAAAGTCTTCCTGAAGAGAGGATATTTTCCCTAAGACTCCAGATAATAAGGAACCAGCCATGAGAAGACAGGGGTTAGGAGCATTCTGAAAAGAAGGAACAGAAAATGAGAAATGTAGTTATACCTACAGAGAGACCATATTATCATGGCATTATAACTTTTAATTTTGCTTCTGTGTCTATTTTCTCTATCATCTGATGCTCTGTACAAGATAGATCAGAATCAGCATATCCCTGATGGTCCAGTGGTTAAGAAATACCTTCCAATCAGGGAACACAGGTTTGATCTCTGGTGGGGAAATTAAGATCCCACATGCCATGAGGCAACCAAGCCTACATGCCACAGCTAGATAGAAGTCCATATGCCATAACAAAAGATTTCACATGACACTACAGAGATCCTGTGACAACTGAGACCCAAAGCAGCCTGACAAATAAATATTTTTAAGCAATAACAACAGAAAACTAATTATCTCAGAATCTTCAACATGTATTATGCAGTAGACAATCAGCAAATTTACTTAATAAAAGGGAGAAATTTTAAATAAATAAATAAAAATTTTAAATTAAACCCATTGCAAGTTAACATAAATAACAAATTTTTATAGGGGAAAAAATCCTTTATTTTCCAAAACAACAAAAATATAGTTCCCCAAATGGTGTCATTTTCCATGTTTTGAAATTTATTTCATTTCTAGTTTAATATAAACCAGCTGGATTCTCATGTCTGCTGCTGAACTCAATCTGTTGTGCTCTCAAACATCACATAGCCTCTGGAAAACTCCACTGTAGAGTCACAAGACAAGAGGAAAAATTGGCTAGTGATATCTTAGTATCCTTAAGCATAAAGTTATGATTTGATAAAGTTCTGGAGGAATTCCAGGGCTCTTCCCCCACCCCAATCTATACTTTGAAATTCATTACTTAGTTGGATTAAAACAAGCATCAAATTCTTTCCTCTCTCTGTTATAAAACTCAGGTACTCAGCTGAAACTGAAAAATAATGATGATGAGGGTAAAAACACTAACAGAAAATCTGGTCCCTCGTTGTCCACTTGATTACATGGAACAACCATGGGACTATTTTTAAGCTAGACCTGTGTGTCACTCTAGAGGTGACTGGATTTGTTGAAGTCATCTCCTACCCTCTAAATCCACCACTGCTCTCATCACTACTTGGTTATTCCTTGTTCTTCTTGGAAGATAGTTTAAGATTCACTCTTTTTAATTCTACTCCTCTTATACTTCTCGATGAGTTCATTATTATAAAAGTGATGCTTTCCATGTCTGCCCTCTCAATTCCTTGCTCTCCCTTCTTTCATTGATGTTGCCCTCCCCTTCACCCTGGCTATTCATTCCCATGAATATACCCTTGAATAACTGCAAACTCTCCACAATCTCAACTTTAAACAACCTAGTTTCTGGCCAATAGCTACTGTTTTTGTTTTTGTTTTTTTCCCTCCAGTTCACTTCTTATACCCCAGTTTCAACAATCTCTCAACTCCACAAACATTTCCAATCCATTGAGCCTACAAAATTTTCACTGGTTCTCCTTATATCCTCACTCACTTTCCCATTTTCCAGTTTAAATTCCATGGTCACTTATTATAATCACTCCTGTAAATTTGCTCCCAATTTCTTTGCCTTGCTCTTGCTTCATCACACTCTCTAGGATTAAAACCCTATTCTGGTTAAATACAACGTCTGCCTACTCTATGCCCACACCCTCCTGGTTGAACATGCCTAGAGAAAAAGCCACTGATGACATCAATCTAAATTCATGATTACCAAAATGTTCACAAGTGAGTTTTTCTTTCATGGACACTTTCATAGGTCTCCAGTAGGATCTATCCTGAATGGCTCCCCCGAGATTCCCTTGTCTCAGACAGGCAGATGCATCCTGTTATGGATTGTCAAACGCAGGGTGACCAACCATTCTAGTCTGTTTGGTAGTACCCTTGTTTCAGCATTTACAGTTCCAAGTTCTAGGAAAGCCTTCAGTCCTGGAAAAACAAGAATGGTGGATCATCCTAGTCATAGGTGCCCTGTAGCCCTTCATTAATCTGATAGCAACTCCACCTGCTGGCTTCTGGTCCTTTACTCCTTTAGGGCCTTATTAGATAAAACCAATGATAATCATACATTGATTCACCCACACAAGTGATTCACATCTCTGGTCCACAGAAAGTATTCTTTGGCTGTTTTGAAATCTAGAGGTATAAACCCTCCATCCTACCTGAATCCAAATATTTGCAGTGGTCATCTGCAAAAGCTGCTTCTTGTACTTCCCCTCCCTTTCCTGAGAGGAATTAAGTATGTCTTGGGCCCATTGGAACAGATTCCTTCCCAAGGCCTCTGGGAGGGTTTGGTGATGGCCAAGAAGCGTCAATGGGTGTTGGGTTTGGGCTTCTCAAGAAGATACACGTTCCTCATAGATGTTGGTCATGTCTGTATATAACCCTTATGATACGTTCCTCACAGATGTTGGTCATGTCTGTATATAACCCTTATGATACATTCCTCACAGATGTTGGTCATGTCTGTATATAACCCTTATGATACGTTCCTCACAGATGTTGGTCATGTCTGTATATAACCCTTATGATATGTATGGTGAGCCCATAAGTAACCCTACCCTGGGGCTACCTACCTTGCTTACTCTATGGTGGAATAATAAAAACTTTAATTACTGCCACCTTTTAAAAATAGTAGTAATTTTAGTAAAATAATAAAATAAAATGTTATTTAAAAAAAATAATAATAACTAATACCAAATTTTAATATAATAAGATTTGTAATTAAAAAAAACCACTTTATCTTGTTGCCATTACTCTAAGTCTTCTGAGAATTGGGCATTAGTCTACTGAGAATCACAATGGCGTGAAATATGGTTCAAAACTCTCCAAACAGACACATCGAAGTCTCTTCTTACTTAAGTTGCAATAAAGGAAATAAAGATGGCACAGACGGTAAAGAATCTGCCTGAAATGCAGGAGACCTGTGTTTGATCCCTGGATTGGGAAGATCCCCTGGAGAAGGGGATGGCTACCCATCCCAGTCCTGGAGGACTCCGTGGAGAGAGGATCCTGGTGGGCTACAGTCCATGGGATCACAAAGCATCAGGCTAGACTGAGTGACTAACACGTTCACTTTCACCATTTCCTATAATGAAGCAACTTCTCTTCCCAAAGAAATCATTTCAAAATTCTCCTCAATATCAGCTCTCTCCATATGAAAGTGATTGAGGAGTTTCAGACACGGGATGTAAACTTTTCACATTGTGATCTGGCTACGGAATATTATCTCAAGTCTATATTGGAGTCTCAGTCTCTAACTTTAATTTGAGCATTCTAGTATACAAGATTATCCAAAATGAAAACTGTACCCAGTAAGTGGCACCTGCGGAAATATGTGCAGAATATTTGTAGCAGATTGTATTTTCCACCAAATGAGATAGCAATATTTATGTTCTCATATAACCTCGACATCCTTCCATCAAGCAGTGGAATCTATCCTTCTCTCTCCAAATATGGGAAACCTCAGTGACTCACTTCTAAAAAATACAATGTCACAGGAGCCTGACTTCCTAGATGAGGTCAAAAAGGGCCATATAGCCTCTGGCAACTTCTCCTTCTCTGGCTCTCAATCAAGACCAGCTACATAATTGGTGGGACCCAACACAAAATGAAAATGAGCAGCCCCTTTTGCAACACTTAAAAATTTCAAGACAACCACCACAGAACACTACACCAAGCCTGAGATGAGTGTGGGGCCCTGTGTGATGCACAGGTCACCAGCCAGATTTGCTGAAGATGCTTATCCTTGACAACCAGCCACCACATGGAGAGAAAGTCTAGGCTAAACAGAGCAGTCATGCGTACCTCTTCTAGCTGACAGCCCTAGAAAGGCCGTCAGCCAATAGCCATACCGACCACCTGACATGTGAGTAAGGCAGCATTCAGACAATTCCAGCCACCAGGCCTCCAGTCTTCTGGATGAAACTCCAGACCTAATAAAAACAAGCTGCCTTCATTGTTAATATAACTAAAGATTTTTTTTTTAATGCCACTATATTTTGAGATTGTTACACAGCCATGGTAAGTACAACAAACCTGATTTACAGACACAGTACATGAAAGACTTGCAGCCCAGTCACACCTGCACTTTCGCTGCTCTTCAAGCATCTGCACACTACCTGTCTCCTCCGACACAAGTCCTCCTGTGTTCTGCTGAAAAAGCTTCAACCACAACAGCACAGTAACAGAACAAGGGCAAGTCTCCCCTCTTCCTAGAGCAGCTTCTGCCTTTTAGCACCTTTGCAGCTTCAAAGTGTAATCGTCCTTGGACTTCCTGTCCAAGTGCAGTTAAGACTCTGCACTTACAACGCAGGAGGCATGGGTTCGATCCCTGGTTAGGGAATTAAGATCCCACATGCTGCACGGAGTGGCCAAAAAAAAGCTTAATTATCTTTCACATTAGAGCTCCCTTTACAGGGTTTCAACCTCAAGACAGGAGGGCCACTCAGAACATCCAGCCCTGATTCCACGGGCAGCCTTTCAGGTACCCTCACCAATGGGACAAGCTTCCCGACTGTAGTTTTGGGGTTACCTTTCCAGCGACCATGTATATTAAACTGGCCCAAAGGAGTGGCTTTAGAACTTAGATCAGGGATTTTTATTTATATTTATATCAGGGTTTCTAGGAAAATGAAGGTCTACCTTTTCGTTAGTTAAAAACAACAATCCAGTCTGCAATCACGTACAATCCATTATTTGACTTAAACAGCTGTTGGAGGCCATTGACTTCGTTTTTCCGCCTGTTTGTTTAATGACTTTGGAAGTCATATCTCTCAGAATTTAAAACACTCAACCCAAAGCAATTTAATGTTATTGCACTCTAGAAAAGAACTACAAAAACAGAGATGCCAACTAAGAAGTTTAGACATTTTTTAGGTTTTACAAATTATGAAACCATGACCACAGAAAGAAGCTCATCTATTATACAAAATGATGTCATGAGTTATTTTGAAAAAATATAGGAATGCTCTCAAAGTAAATGTTGTTTTTACCATAGTAAGTTATTCGGTGCAACAAGTCACTGAAGTATCTGTCTGCTCTACTCTTGATAATTCCCAAATTTAGTCATTCTTAAGTGAAGGTGTCTTTTATCCCCTGACTTTTCCTGTCAGTCATATATTAGCGCAGGTACCATTTCAACGCCATGTAAACACTAACTTAGATAAATACACACTTTAAAAAAATCTAAATAATCTCCAACCTTGAAAAGATTTCTTGGGCTTCTCTGGTGGCCCCGTGGTTAAGAATCCACCTGCCGATGTAGAGGACATGTGTTCCATCTCTGGCTCGGGAAGATTTCACATGCCGCAGGGCAACTAAGTCCGTGCGCCACAATTACTGAAGCCCACAGGCAGCAATAAAGACAGAGCAGTCAAAAAACGAATTTTTAAAAAAGAAAAGATTTCTTACATGTCCCTTTGGTATCCAGTCACCAAACAAACATAAATTCAGATTTTATCAAACTTGCTTTCCATACCGAAAATGTAATTATTTGGGACACACCAAGCATAATAAAAATTAAAATTAAAATAAAATGGCACTGTATCCTTAAGGGATTACATTTCATTATTAAAAAATAAATCTGTGAATTTCTTTTTTCTGTTTTTTCTTTTTCCTGGACCGGTCCAAATTGAACCAAGCAGGATCATAAATTGGAATATCAAAATACTCACAGTCCAGATTCTCTAAGGGACCATCCATATCACTGTAGCACTACCAAGTAGAAATAGCAGTGAACTATGAGGAAATGTGAACTCCTTCCTGGTAAATCCAAAAACAGGATGTTCAAGAACAATGAAAATCTGCCCTGTCTACTGGTATATGAATGATGAGAGCGACTGGCCAACCAAATTCTGTCATGATATAAATGGAAACAGTATCATATGATTAAGGACTGGGAATGTTTTCACAGTATTTAGCTCCAAATTAACTCGCTGTTATAAGCTTGCTAAATAAAGTCATCTTGCTTATCTCATTTTTTTCCTCTCTACAACCTCTCAAGGTGAGTAATACTATCCACCATTACTGGAAAGAAGTCCTGTGTTCCAGAGCTACTGGCTGTGTACAACACTCTTAACAGCCAATCAGACACTGCACTCATCCATCCATCTGCTCATTCACTTACTCCTCAAAGCCAAACTTGTGGTTAGTACATATGAAGAGCACACACTCCCTATGGAAACAGATAGGGAACTTGAACACTGCCTTCCAGACTGAGTGGTGCAATACAGAAACACACTTGTGGAGGCACTCAGGGCTCCCTGGAAGAGGCAATACATTGCTGAACCCTGAATAGAGATAATCTAGTAAAACTGTTTTAATCCACATATTGTCTAACTCGGCACTTCTCAAGCTTTGTTCAAAGGAACACTAATGTTTGGCTTAATATCAATAAATATCCTGTGGATGATGGAATATCCCAATTAGCAGCAGTTACCCTGTGGCCTGACCTAGCATTTCATTCACTGTAAATAATTAAAGTTGGCCCACTGTTTCACCAATGAAGCTGCTTAATTTGATCATTCAGAACTAGCCCAACATGAATTGGCTCATTTATGCAATAAGACTCCACAGATGGGCTCATAGCTGACTCCTCTGACCTGGTGAGATGAAGGCACACCCCAGAACAGGTGTGGTATCATTGCATCTGACCACAATTCTCAGCCTTCCTGGAGCTAATACTCTGGGTAGCTTTTCTTATTTGCTTTAGGTGAAACTGGACATTCTTTGGATGAATTTAGTGGGTGTGGTTAGAAAATAATTTATTTAAAAATCAAGCCAGAAGTGATAGTAGGATGGATTGTTAACTATTTAAGAAAGAGAAATCAACTTATCAAAGAAGCTTTTTGGAGCCGCAGGAGGCAAAAGCCTCTATGCACCAGGGTGAGGTCAAGTAGCACACACCACAGAATACCACTCAGCCCCCATATTTCCCTGGAGAACAGAAAAGAGTCAGGTGGGTTGTCTGTTTAAAGTAGATATTCTGAGCAGAGGACTGTTGAAGTGGAAGTCAGAATTAGATTAGTTAGAAAAAATTTGAAGTGAGAAGAAACCTCTCCACTTATCTTCAACTGTGGACAGCAGCAGCCAGACCTCCACTAAAATCTCGAGAAAAGCACACCCCCTTTGTGAATTAGAAATTTGGCAGCAACCTCTGTAGGTCCACTTCTTCAATATATTTCATGTCAAAATACATATAGAAGTCTCAAATGGGTGCTGGTAATCCCTTCTAAAGCTTTCCCTCAGGATAAAATTGGCAGTGCCGGGAATACATTGTAGGAGTTCTAAGGTTTGTTTACGCTTGTCACGTTTTTAAGTGTTTGAAGCAAGACAGCACAAGTTCGAGGTGGAAGGGATGCCCTCGACAACAAGACAGGGCCCATTCCAACGTCTAAAGAGGCTTTGATAGCCCTTAGCACAGAATCCTCCTTATTTCAGATGATACGTGATACTTGCGAGTCACCTCCTTGAACACTGTGGACATTTGCACCGAGGCTCCTGTTTGCCGCAGTCTGAATAGTGACAAAGATTTGTTGAGTATTTGCTCTGTTCTAGCCTCTTCACATTAATTATTTCCTATCTTGGCAGAGAAGCAGGACTTTTGATTCAGAAGTATAAAACCCTCGTTGCTGATGCCTGCAAACTTGTCCCTACGGCACCTGACTCGGGACAGAGCAGGAACACACTTTTGTCCCTCATTCAGAGTCCTGGTTCTTTTCTACGGTTCACAGGAAGGCTAATGTGCTATCTTATTCTACTGAACTTCACACAGAGGGGAGGAGTGGGAGAAAAGAGGAATTGAGAAAACAATGCTTGGCTTTCCATGTGATGCCTGTGAAGATTTCTTCCTTGAAGAAAGCACAAGCTGCAGAGAAGATCATGTTCCTCCTCTTTCTACATCTCTCTTCCTCCACCCTTATTTTCTTGGCTCTTTTTCTAAAACCCATCTTTGACCACAAGAGAGTAAAGAGTGGATTTGGGCAAAGAATGTTTGAAACAATGCTAGTTCTCTCCTCTTTATTCCAAGTTCCACAAACCATGAAAAATCACTTTTCTCGTATTTAGCATCCCTACCTAAGCACCTGCCATAGATGCTCTGTCTCCATGGGTCCTCCGATATCATACCTGACCAGTGCTCTCTGCACGTGATAGAAACACGAGTGAGGACACAGCACCATCTCCATACTTTGTGGATGCTCAGTTCGTTTTAATTCTTTTTTAATTTTGGAATTTCAAAGCAAAACCAAATTGAACTTTTTAAAAAAACAAGTTTTCCAAACTACATAAACAAGGGATACTTTTTTTTTTAAACAAGTGATTCTTACAGGAAGTTTTCCAATAAACTATTTATGACATTTGACTTCACTCTGTTTTACAAAAACCAAATCAATCATCACTGATCCAGTCCAGTGAGAAATGAGACTCAAAAACAAAACCAAACAAAATAAAAAGACTCATTTTTTTAGCTTTCTGAGGAATTTTCACAATTAAACACAGTCATGTGTGTATGTGTATTTGTGTACCAAGTTTGCCAACTCATGCTAGGGGCTGAAGATAGAGTATTTAATAGAACGGTGTTGTGATTATCTATTGCTGTATAATAAACCACCCCAAAATGTAATTTTAACCTTACTACTATAATTCACTTTGATCTTTCATATTTCAGCAGGTTGATTAGACTCAGCTGGGCAGTTGTCACGTAGGTCTTTCATGTAGTTACAATCAGACTAGCTGAGGCTGAAGTCACATGAAAGCTTGACTGGTCTGGATGTACCGGACTAGTACAAGGTGTTTGCTTGCAACCTGGATGGCTGGAACAACTGGAGCTAGCCAAATCGTCCTGCCTGTCTCTCTCTCTTTCTCAAAATTGCTCTCTCACCATCTGGTCTATGCTCATAGCCAAGTTAGGCTTCCTTACAGCCAGGCAGTGCCAGGTAACGAGTTACCAATTTCCTCCAGAGCACCAAAAGACCAAGGCAAACACTGCAAGGTTTCTTGTGACCTAGCCTCAGAAGTTATGAAGACTCAATTCCACTGAATTGTATTGGCTACACAGGACAAGACTGGATTCACTGTGAAAGATAACTACAGTGAAGTAGTAGTTAGTAGTTACATTCAAGATCCTGAATGTAGGGAGACATGGTTTGTTGGGGGTCATCTTTAGAAACTAACCAAGGTAAACAAGCATGGTCCCTAACCTCTAGAAGCTTATAGTAATTAAATACTCTCTGAAATAAGAGTTGTAATTTTAACTACTAATTTTGGTTTTGTCATACTATTGTGGAAGAATTGTTGCTTTCGAGCTGCTATGCTGGAGAAGACTCTTGAGAGTCCTATGGACAGCAAAAAGATCAAACCAGTCAATCCTAAAGGAAATCATCCCTGAATATTCATTGGAAGGACTGATGCTGAAGCTGAAACTCCAATACTTTGGCCACCTGATGCGAAGAATTGACTCATTGGAAAAGACCCTGATGCTGGGAA